GGCATTGTTTGTCTTTTTTGGCTTCTCATGCTGGGAAGCCACCTCCTCACTTCTTCTAATGGCAACAAAAAATAAAGCAATGGAGATTAAATAAATAAAAAAGCTGCATAAATCAGACAGGGAAGTCTGAAGATCCTAACTCTGGATACTCGTGTCTGGTTCTTGCTCTGTCTACAGTAACTAATTATATAATACTAAGTATGTTCTAATTTTAATCCTTAACATTTTAAATGATGAGCCATGTTTAATTAATTTATTCCAGGTAATTATAACATTATTGATTGGTATCATTTCCCAGAAAAGAGCCAATTGTGCACAACCACAGTTTGACTCAGCATAAAGAGCATAGAGTTTAACTTGTACATCATTGAAACGCTTTGTCAGGTATTTGACGGATGGATGACACAGTGAGTTGAAATGTCAAAACATCTTGTGCCAAATCGACTATGATGACCAGATAATTTGTAGTTAAAAAGAATATAATAAAGCCAAATGTTTCTTTTTTTTCATTTCTGATTTTTTTCCTGGCATGTAGTAAGGTTTTCATTGTGTCAGATTAATGCATTTTTTTCTAATATATCTGCTCCAGTAACTGTGCATGTATTGATGTGAAAATGAAGACAGATGAGCTCATAATGCCCCCTACCTGGCAGGTAATGAACCAGCAACCTGTAGGGCAAGAGCAGATGGAGGAAGACAGGGAGGAACCAGCTGGTTATATAGAACACATGCCTCTGAACAAATGACTGATGCTATTTTATTTTGATTCTATATCACTACCACTATCATAAGACCACGTCTGAAAGAACTGACATTATTATATTTAGTCATGAGGTAAGAAGCAGACATCAGTGAAGGTAACTGAGGTGAATCAGACTCTAAGTATGAGACATCCAGCATGATAAAAGATGCTGTTGTCATTTTTGCTGATTCTGTGATGCTGACCTGCTGTTTGTAAGCTCAAACTGATAAAACTATCAAGTCGCTTCTGTTTGATCTGTTATCAGAAGGACACAGATGGGGTTCAAATGAATCTGTTTGCCACAAAATACTTTGAGAAAACAGCTTTCTGTGTTAGTTTATATCAAACAGAGATTTGCTTTTTTGCAAGATCCTGTCCCTGTGAGTCTAGCAGGTAAATAACTTCATGACTTTAAAACTAAAAGTGGTTTTAGAGACTCAGAAACTAAACTCCTAAACCAGTTGAAGAGAATAGAAACTGTTGCCTTGTCAAAGAAAAGATGGAAGATAATTTGTAAATTTACAAAAAAAAAGTGTCTAAAGATTAAAATTAAAGTTACTCTTTGGTCTACCCTAGCCAGCTTGTGTTTTAGTCAAACTTTTTTTTAAAAAGTCATATTTTATGTATCTGTTTTGAATAAAGTTTCTCTGTCTTAAAATCTAGGCTTATGCAGAAAACATTCAGACAACGTCAGATATCAAGGCCAGTCCAACAGGTCCATACTGGTCTTTGTTGCAAAAATGTGCATCGGTAGAATAAATCTTTAACATTGAAGCAGCTGCAAAAGTAGGAAATATGTGGCAGACAGCCTATTTTCTTACCCAAACAACCTAGGTACCATTTGACCAAATTTCCAAATGTCAAATTTGGTGCAGTCACTAAATGACCTGGAGCATTTTAAATACCCTGAACAGTCATGTCCTCTGCGCTGTTCTAAATAAAAAATAAATAAAAAAACATCAAACTTCAGGGTGTAAATTGAAATTGGATCAAACAATTTTTCATCAAGGACTTTGCCCTTTTGTTTACAAGTGTGCCGTGCTGCTTTCCAGCAGCTGAAAGGTTACGTTGTTATTATACATCAAATGGGCCATAAAATTAGACAAAATGGAGTCATAATGAGTCTGGAAAGGACAATAGGAGGGCTTATTGAAAAGAAGAAAAAAAGAAGATTCAAGGATGATTCAGACTAATCATGAATACACAGCCTCACAAACAAACTGAGTTACATTATAAAGATTTCAGTGTCTGTCTGTGGCAAACAGGGCTGCAGCAGATGGTAATTCATTCAACCTATGATTTATTATACAGGTTAGATCTCACTGAGCCTCGAGGACTCATTTACAAGAGAGACCTGCAATGGTGTCTCAGGGCAGGGTTATGCCACTGATATTGATCCACAGTCTGCATTCACAATGCATCATTGTTGTGTTAATTGTGTAATTCAGCAGTTTAAAGCTGGATTCAATTTTAAATGAGCTTTCACAGTATATATATATATATATATATATATATATAGGCATAACCCTGCCCTGAGACACCATTGCAGGTCTCTCTTGTGAATGAG